CGGGAATTCTTCCTGGATGAAGTCCGTCAGGGCTTTGCGCATCTCCACCTGAGGGAAAGGGCCAGGCTGGCTAAGGTGCCCTGGAGGCCTGGGGATAGGGCAGAGGGACCAAGGCCAGCTGGGGAAACCCGGGAGGAAACTCACAGCTGACTTGTTCTCCGCCCGGAGTCGCTCGAGCACTGGCAGGGCACTGAAGGGCTTCCCAATCAGCACGGTGATCTTCTGTGGGGAGGCCACACACCGAGGGTGACAAGGAGCAAGGGGAGGACTTGTCGCATGCTCCCTTGCGGTCACTCTCCTTTAAAACGTAGGGGTCAAGCTTGGTGGCATCTTAGGCCATCCCAGCCCTGGGGTCTGCCCCACAGAAGGCCTTTCTTGTCCTGCCCTAGCAGGAGTATGCCCACTCCAGCCCAATTGCCTCTGCTAGCACCCTGAAGGACTGGCTGTCAGGCAGGACCTGGTCTATGTTCCACTTAGTTCCCTGTGCAGCCCCAGGCTGAGCTTGGTCTACACTAGGCAGACAACCGGACAAGCAGACAGCAGATAAGACAGATGGAGGAAGGCCAGCAGCCCAACCCACCTGTCCGAAGCGGGGGAAGTAGGGCGGGCTGTTGGGAAGGACGTCGTTCATCCCTGCAGCAGTGGGCAGAAGGCCGGCTGTGGGTGGGTCCAGGCAGCTTGGTGCCCAACCCAGGAGCCCTCTCTACCACCCAGCAGAAATGCCCTGCCCCCAGGCTCACCAACATGCCACAGTGGCAGGATGATGGGGTCAAGATGACACTCAGCAATCAGGCGCCCAATTCCTGCCCAGGGGAGGAGAAACGTTGGCACGAATGAGGCTAAGCCTCTGTGCTCACATCTCCAGTTAAAAGCAGTTCCCTGGGCTCTTTTTTCTCAGCAGCTGCCCCTTCTTGCTGCTGCCAGCTCAGCCAGGGGGCAGGGCCAGGGCCCCCAGGGTCATCTCAGGGCCAGCAGTCCTTACCCCACTTGAAGCGCAGGAACTCAGAACTCATATTCACTTTCCCTGGTGAGAGAGCACAGGGGCGATGTTGGGGAGTGGACCACCCATACCCACCCTGCAGGTTAGAGGGATCCTTAACCCAGCCAGCCCTGCTGACCTTCTGGGAAGATGTGCACCCAGTCCCCGTGGTTGAGTTTCTCCAAAATGAAATCCATCCCTTTCTGGTAAACGCCATCTCCTACAGAGAAAAGTCCACCCCTATTAACCCTCATGCTGCAGGGAGGGGGCCAGCTCACCCCCAACCCTCTCCAAACCTCCAAGACACAGGCCCTTCTCCGTGGGACTCATGCACTGGAGTCTACCCACCTCAGACCCCCCCACCGTGCTGTCTATATAGACACCTGCCCATGGCTGCTCCCAGGCCCTGTTCAGACCCAGTTCTAGCCTGGCCCTAGCCTTCCTTCATTCAACAATACCCTCCACATCTGTAAGTGCTGCTCATGGGGGTAGTACCTCCTGACATCCTCCACTGATGTGACCTGCCCTTTCACAGCTCTTCCACCTGGCAGTCCCTCTGGTAGGCTCTCCCCCGGAGGGCTTCCTCCCCAGTCAGGCCCATGGCTGCTGGTCAACTGCCTCAGAGCTCTTTGTCCTCAGACATGGCAGGGCCGGGGGAACGCCGCCACGCCCCTGGCACTCAGGACTTCAGCTTGGCCTGGCCTGGCCCTGTAGCCACTCCTAACAGGCGCCCTGCCTGAGGCCTCAGCCTCTGCCTGCCCCTTCCTCTCAGGACTTCCCCGAAAACAAGACCCTCCCTTAGGGAGGCCTTTTGGGAAAGGGAGAACACTCAGTTGAATACACACTATCACCAAGAGCTCAAGAACTCTGAAAAAAAGTGAAGTCAAGTTGCTCCTGATGCTAGCAGCCTTCTGCCATGGGGACACCCTGCACCCATGACGCTGGACCCAGGTGGCTCAGCACCAAACACAGAGGCAAAGACCCAATGCTATGTGCTGGGTTACAACTTGGGGCCACTTGCAGCCAGGGGGGTACAATAGTCAGAATCTCATCAGCCTGCCTCCATGCCAGGCATGTATGTGTGCCCAGGATCCTGGCAGGTGGAGGACGGAGATCATGATACCAGATGGCCCTGTGGAGGTGGTCCTTTCCCTCTCCCTACCTCCTCCATCATGAACAATGGCAACGAAAAACCCGTCAGAAATCTCTTAAACTGGGCCAGCCAGTGGCGCAGTGGTTAAGGCAGCTGGATCCCCCGTGAATGACTGCACAGTTCGAGTTCTGCATCCAGCAGCTTGAAAATCACACTGGGCGCGTGTGCATGCATGGCCAAAATCCTGAGGAGACTGGAAGAGAAAAGATTGCAGCAATCCCTCCATGGAGTGACTTCTCACTTTCCTCTCGCTTTCTGAATCTCTCTGGCAAGTGCACACACTCTGTAGCATATTTAAATAAAAATAAATAAATGAAATTATTAAAAACAAACAAAAATTCTCTTGGCCAGCAGGTGGAGTGAAGGTTAAGGCAGCAGGATTACACATGGCTGACTGTGTTTTGAGTTCTGAACTTTGCAAATCATGCCAGGTGCGTGTATACATACGTATGTTCAAAGTCTCAAGAGGAGAATGCAGCATGGCCATCCTCCTGGGGAGTGAATTCTCATTTTCCCTCTCTATCTCTGGTGAATGCATCCACCCTACTGCAAACAAACAAAATACCTCTTTCCAGACCATCAGGTGGTGTGGTGGTTGGGATGCTGGACTCCCACATGGCCGGCCATGGTTTAAGTCCCAGACCTGGTGGCTTGCCTAATTCCCATACCTGGTGGCTTGCCTTTTCACTCTCTCTGTTTCTCTTTGGTCAAATTAAAAAATGATAAAAAAAAAAATTGGGGGGATTGGGTTGGCAGCTGCTGTGGCAGTTGAAGGCACTGGATTCTCACATGGCCAACCGTGGTTCAAGTCCTGGATCTAGTGGCTTGCTTTTTCAATTTCCTTCTCTCTCTCTCTCTCTCTCTCTCACTCACTCTCTCACTTTTGCTCTGTCCCTCACTGGTCAAAATTAATAAATAAACAAATAAATAAATAAAGCTAAATAAGATAATTCCTTTAAAAAAATTAGGGGGAGGGGACCAGCAGTTAGCATAATGGCTATGTCGCTGGACTCCCACGTAGTCGACCGCAGTTCGCGTCCTGGACTCGGTGGCTTAAAACTCACGCCGGGCACATGTGCATGCGTGCCCAAGATCCCGAGAGGAGAATGGAGGAGAAGGGATTGGGGCGTGATCATCCCCCCCGGGGGGAGATTTCTCGCTTTCTGTCTCTATGTCTCTGTCTGTCTGGCGAGCACACACGCCCTATAGCGAAAATCTCTCCAAAATAAATAAATAAATAAATAAATAATGCTTTTTAAAAAAACTATCCATCCCTCCTTTCTCTCCTTCCCTCCTGTGTTGTTTCTCTAATAATATCATACTTTGAAGTAATAATGTATAATTATTAGCTTTTACAAGTATTGCTTCTACTCACTTGTGTAGCTTGTATAAAATCACTCCAACAGTTAAATGTGTTACAAACTCTACATTTGGGGGAGGGAACTTTGTGGAACACAGAAGCAAAGTATGCCAAATGAGTTTTTCCGCTCCCATCACCTGTCATTAGATCTTTGCTGCATATCCAATGTGTTTGGCAAATAACATTTCCCTGCCCTCTGTCTCTCAATGATGGTGCTTGGATTAAGATTTCACTTTCTGGGGCCAGCAGGTGGCATGGTGTTTGGGACGCTGGACTCTCACATGGCCCACTGCAGTTCAAGTCCCAGACCTGGTGGCTTGCTTTCTCATTTTTCTTCTCTCTCTGTATCTCTCTGGTGAACACATGTGCTTTATAGCAAACTTAAAAAAATAATAGTAATAATAATAACTAAATATTTTTAGAAGAATTTCACTTTCCTTTTATAATTGTACTATAAAACCTAGATACTTGGGGCCAGCAGGTAGTGTGGTGGTTAAGGTGTTAAACTCCTACATGGCCGACTGAGGTTCGAATCCTGGACCTGGCAGCTTCCTCTTACTTTCTCTCTGTTTCTGTCTCTCTGGCTCTCTCTCTCTGGTGAGAACATGAGCCCCATATAAAATAAAAATAATAATAATAAAAAATAACATTAAATAAATAATTCTTTCCCTCCATTCTCTGCTCGGAAACACTACTTCCCTGAAGCAGGAACAACTGGGACTGTGGAATCGGCAGACGGCAGAGCAGTTACGTCACTGGACTCCCACATAGTTGACTGTGGTTCATGTCCCAGACCCGGTGGCTTAAACTCACACCAGGTGTGTGTGTGTGCATGCCCAAATTCTGAGGGGAGAATGGAGGGGAAGGGACTGTGGCATGGCTATCCCCCCTGGGGGATGATTTGATGCTGTCTCTGTCTCTGTCTCTGTCTCTTCAGGGAGCACACATGGCCTATAGCAAAAACCACTCTTAAAAAAAAAAAAGAACCATTGGGACTGGGAACCTGGTCACCCCATGTTCTTGGGCCAGCAGTTTAACCTCTCCAAGCCATCATCTGGGTCCTCAGGTAACATGTGATCATTTGATCTCAGATTCCTCACCCTACAAGTCTGTCTGTTCTCCCAGAAGTAAAATCTTCAGGCCTCCTGGTATGCACCACCAATGTCATAGCCCACTGATATCGCACAGCCCTTAGCGACCTCCTGAGAGAAGGGGCCATGGATGACACCTCCTGGCACTCTGCATTGGGGCCACACAGTCCTCAGGCAGTTTCTCCAAAAAGTCATGCCCCCTCCAGCAGCTGCTGTATCTGCCGCATTGTGGTGAAGCCGGTGACCAAGCTGCCTGTCCCCCAGGGGTCCCTCCAAGAGTAACGTACTGGCCACCAGCTGCCTTTTCCCAGCAACACCTCACACCCCCCACTGGAGGAGCAGCTCACCTCGGCACACGGGCACACACTTGCCCAGGCTGAAGAAGTGGGAGTGCAGCTCCTTGGTGAAGCAGATGTCTGCAGCTGCAGGGGTCCTGGTACAGTGACAGCAGTCAGCCCGTCTCCCTGCTCCCACTCCCCACCCCTGCAGCATGCTGTGCACAGGGTCATGAGGAAGGAGGACCTGTGGGGCCCCACCCTGCCCTGCTGGACTGCTGGGTGTGCCCTCCTGGACAAAGGAGGAAGAGGGTGAATCTGGGTAGAGATGGGTGGGGCCTGCTGGGCCCACTGCAGGGAAAGGGAGTATTGGTGGGGGCATTCCTCCTCACCAACGCATCAACTTCAGGTTCCAGATATGGCGGAGCTTCAGGATCCCTAGAGGAGCAGAGAGGTCCCAGTTGACCTTGTTGCCCACGAGTCCCCCTTTCATTTCAGCTTCAGCACGACCATTTCCCTACCAGCCCAAAGCAGCATCTTCCCAACCTCTGGCTCCTCGCTCCGTCCCATCCTCTAGCTCACCACTGCATCTGCTTGGCCTACCTCGCCCATCCTCCTCCATCTCTCCCTGCACTGTCACTGCCATGCAACTAGCCTAAACTACTGAATGGCATCCAGGCCCCTGCCTGGCCACCTAGCACGCTTCAACAGGCCATTCTCCACCTAGCAACTAGCTACATTGGGAGTGCCTCCCATTTGATCAGGTGGCTCCCATGAGCTCTCGGATGGTGCGGGCCTGGCTCCCTGCCCACACCACGTGGGAGCAACTCCCAGTGAGTGAAGTCTTATCAAGCAGGAACTTCTAGGTGGGGCAACTGCGCTCCTAAATGGGGCTGGGTGCCGGGACAACCAGCCAGGGGCAAGCCTGGAACCAGGACACAGGTCTCCTAGCCCTAGCCTAGTGCTTCCTTGACAAGAGAGCCCATGGGACCTGCAGCAGTTTCAAAAATGAGAGGTCCACAGGCCTGAGATCAGAATAAAGCTAACGGACCTGTCTGTGGCCATTTCCTCATTTCTTCTATACTCTGAGCCCTCTTCAAATCGCATTCCCTGAGTGGATCCTGAAGGGGCCACAAATCAAACGTTCACCCCTGGGGCAGGACACCCCAGAAACAGGGGTGCCAGGGCTATGTGAGGAGCCCAGTGCGAAGTGAGTCTGCTGGGCTCGGTTCTCCCCTGGCCTGGACTCGCCCCCTGCCTCTCTGGGCCCAGCACACCAGCCTGGGTACCCCAGAGATGAGGGTCATCCATGCAGGACTGATGGTTGGAGACGGTGATGAGGGGGGTGGCAGGGCCGCGTTTCTCGATGAGCTCGTACAGCACCTCCTTGTTGTGGACCGTGAGCTGGTTCATGCACTCTGCGGGGAGACGGGAGACGGGGATCCCCGACTGGAGGGCAGCGTCTCAGCCTCCTCCTCCCCACCGCAGGCGCCCCTCACCCCCAGCCCCC